CATCTGACAGATACTTTTATGCATTTAATTGCAAATGGTAGCTGCTCAGCGAGGCGCTGCATGTTGCCAGTTGCCAGTTGCAAGCAAACCAATTTCAATTTCATGCCACTCGGCGGCTCTTAATGCCCCAGTGCAAAGCGGGCGACAGTGTGTCTCTCCCTCTGACGTCCTCTCACTGTCCTGCTCTTGCTCGCGGGGAACATCTGAAGACAGGCAGTTGATGAGCTGCAGTTTTCAGCTGTAGCCGAAATTGTGAAGGCAGGCAACGTTTCAACCTTTCAACGTTTCAGCATTTCAGCGTTTCAGCTGCGTCTTCAAATGAATTAACATAAAAAATTAACTCAACAACAGCTCTGAAAACTTGGCAAACTGCGCTGTGGACTCACAACAATTTCCTCTCTGCCAGTTCTGGGCGAAACAGGTTGTAGGAAACAATTAATTAAACTAATGACTTGATAGAAATTTTCGCAGTGCACGCTAAATGATTTGTAAAAAGCTAATTCTTAGCTGGAAGTACTAGTACCTCTATTTATGCGAGTCAGCTTTATTATAGCTGAATAAAAAAACTTAGGCTTTGATTAAGCTTTAATTAAAGCGAAATCGTTGACAAGAAGTCGAACTTTAATTGGGACTGGAAATGAGATATCAAAATGCCTTAAAATATCTTAGGTTTACCAAAATATTGTAGTAAAAATTCTGATCTTTCAAACTAATCTTCAGAAATATGCTTGGTACACTGCAACTTATAGTCGATCCAATTCTTATACGCTGTTAAAAATGTTTTAAATCAATCTTTATAGTACTTTTTGTATACAAATTATTATATACAGTATATATATCTTTTTTTTCTAATCCATCAATATTATCTATTTTTTTCTTTTCATTATTTACTTGTACATTTTGCTTGTTATCCCTAAACTTCTGGGAGACACTGTGCATGGTTAGAAATTCTCGAGAAATTTACTGGAAGTGCCATTTGCTATATGGTATTTGTTGCCTAACCTTGTAGTTGGATAATATATTTTTACTTTTGCCATAGATACTATATATATACTATGTATATGGATTTAGCGCTCAGCTGAATACGAAATGAATTTGTTAGACTGCATCAATAATTAGCGCGCGGGGAACGTTTAGCAGGCAAGACTCGACAATTGTTCAAACTGCGTAGTCTGCGGCGATGTGGCTGTCACTCAGCTCATTTGCATGTTCTCTCTCGAAGAGTACAATTACTAGATGTATATATATAAATATATATATCTTTATTCGTTTTGCCTACCTACATTTAGAAATGACAAAATCGGAAGCAACAACTGAGCTTTTTATTGTAGTTAAGGCAAAAATTTGACTCGAGGCAAATATTAATCACAAAAAATTAATTAAAATATGTAAAAATAAAAATTGTATTTGCTTGATTTAGTAATTACTTGTAGTAACTGTGGAGAATCAACAAAGTCATTAGTGCTGTGAAGAGAGGCGGAGCTGGGCTCTCTTTCCTGACTAAATTTTAGCTGTGTTCATGACTCAGTTAGCTGCCGCATTTAATATTAGTATCCAGAGGGCTTGGGTACCTCGTTAGATAAGTATATAAATACAGGTTTGCGCCAGAGTCCCATTCCAAAATGGGCCAGGCCTCATAAAAGTCGTTAATATAAGGTAACGTTATGTAAATTGCAATAATTCTTGCTCAAGCACTCAACTAGCTGTAATAATAAATTGATTTGAATATTTTGATCAATTTTGGCATAGATCTCAAAAGTTAGTGTCGTAACTCTTAAATATATATTCAAGAATTGTATAAGCAAAATATGTATTCATATGTGACAAAGCTCAAATTAAATGAGGAATAATTGCAAATATATTGTATAAATATTTTAATCTCAAATACTGTATAATCTATTGCGTAAAAATTTAAAACATCTAATCAAAAGATTTAAAATTAATGTGAATATTTATGTTAAAATAATCTATTTTTTAAAAACTTTTGAGTAGATCTCGAGATCTACAAGATCTAGATTGCGGTTGTTATGTAAACATATATTAAAGAATAGCAGATTATCAGTTGACAAATAATTAATATAAAGACTAAAGCCGGGATCTGATTAAACTGGCTTTGAGTTAAAGTATTATTATATGAATACTCTATTAATTCACTAAATTTCACATATACTCATATATTCTTAGCTTAACTGTAAGCTACTTAAGCCCACTTCCACCTAATTAGATATATATACATATTTTCATTTGGCTTTTTTTCAAGTTCAGGGTCGGTAGTTAGTTTGGATAGGGATTTATCCTTGGACTATTGGAGTGCTTTGCCCCAATTTCGCTCAATTGGGGTCGTTTGTTTTGATTTCCCCTGGCCACAAATCAAACACAACAAGAACGACAACAACCACAACAACAAAAAAACAACTAAATGCATTTTAATTGAAGTTTTGCGTGTGGCCACCGAATAAGCGCCCACAACAGCCACGCCCAATTGGCAGCCAGTGGCCTGCAATTTGCCAGCTGTCAGTCGCTGGCGCTCATGCAAAAAATATTTTAGTTGCTGACACGACGACAACAACAAAAACAAGAAAGGAAATAATGCAAATTGCGCATACGCCACGTGGATCCAGCGGGTTAGCAAGGGCTTGAAGTGCTTTTTGGTGGGGGTGGGGCTTGTTGGAATTGAATGCGGGGCAGCTGAGTTGTCAGCTGCTTTGAATTTTAAGCCGGGCCATAAAGATAGCGCATAGCTAGAGCTTAGCCATAAATACCAAATAATTGTGGCCCATAAAAGTTGAGTTGTTAATTGCTCTGTTTGCTTTCGAGCCGCGCAGCCTCGGGCAGCGCCGGGCAGCCAGCGGGCATCGCGTGTGCCGTCGTATTCAATGAAAACCTTTGACGAGCTGTTTGCTGTTCTTGTTGTTGTTGTTGTTGTTGTGGGTGTCAATTCTCGGGCATATTTTATTAAACGCGATTCCGAAAAACTTGGCCCGCAAAAACAATGTTAAATAATTCATTCCATACAAAATGCTGAAAGTTTTTGCGTGAGAATTTAGCCATATTACACGTTAACACCCCGGGAGTGGGGAAGGGAGTAGTTGTATGTATATGGGGGGAGTGAGAGGGAGGCGTTGAGGCGTGGTGGAAGGCTGCGTGTTAAGCCGGAAATGAAAACTCTGTTAATTGCCATGAAGTATGCAAAGTATGAGCAAAGTTGTTGTTGTTGTTGCTGTTGTTATTCTATCTATCGATAATAACTGAGCAACTGCCTGCCTGTCCATCAACTTCGGCCCTCACCCCCGCTGTGATTCTCATTTCGGTACCATCAAGTTTTTTCCAGCAAAACTTTTTGCGATGTCAATGAACTTCAATGTGCCCGGCGGGCAGCTAAACGCGGCCATAATGGAAAAGTCTTGTACAGTAAACACCCATCGAATGCAATTTATAATTTTTTAATGAGTTATTGGCATTTGTAAAAAACTCAATTCGAGCTAAGTGCTTTGGGATAGTCCTTTAAAGTATCCCAATTAAACGGAGTGGGAGCTATTAATAAAGTAATACAAATAAATCGGTGTCTGGGATTTGCCTAACTTAAATGGGCACTTACTCAAGATCAATTATAATGGGCTTAGATGAAAATAGAAAATGTTTGTGAAAGAGATGTAAAATTTAAAATAAATTAGGGACGGTTTTGTATAGATAGCCACATATAATATGAAGATTTTGATGGGCGTGTAGAACGATGCAGGAAGAGACACAGGATAGTAAGGAATATAGGATATGGGATATAGGGTAGTGGTATATTATGTACGATATAGAATATGGGATTGGAATATATAGATATGGTATGAATACAGTATGTGGGATATAGGATATAGAATATGGGACATTGGATATAGTATGTGGGACATAGAGTATACGATATAGAATATACGTACAGAGGGAGCTCTTTATAGACATACATATAGATGGAGAAATAAATATAGGTCATATATAAATATAGTTAGCTATAGATAGGCCTATTCAAATAAGAGATGGATCAGACTTGTGAGCAAGTACATTATATTTCATATAATAAATATCTTTCGTTTTCTATCATTCAGATTTCTTACAGATCTGAGATCTAGGAATATTGTGAATATATTTATAAACTTATATTAAACTGAGTTCCTTTTTGGTTTGTGATCTCATGCATTACATTGACTGCAATGGCTGAGTCAGCAGTTTCTGTTTTTGTATAAACAGAGTCAATTGGAATAATTGAATCAGCATTTCGAGCGCTTGGGCCATTTGATGGTGATCTCTGATGCGTCATAGGTGGATAAAGTTCTCTTCGCTATAGAAATATTCGCAAGCTAATTACCATAACTATCGTCGACCGCTGCATAGGGGGGCGTGGCATCGCCAGCTAGGCCCGTCGAGTCCATGGTATCGCCCGCAACGGCAACTGCATTGGCAAAGGCCAGGGTGGTGGCAGGGATCGCCGGCGGCTGGTCCTGCTGCTCAATGGAAGTGGGTGCCGTGGCGCCAAGTGTCGAGGCGGTGGGGCTGTGCGTGGCTAGTTTAAATTCAGTCTCAAGTGTTTCCCAGCCGGAGCCGTCGGGGTCCGCATTGACTAGATCCAAGATGCTGCGCTGTGTGGTGCTGCCGTCCAGCGACAGCTCTGGAGTGGTGCGACTGCTACGTGTGGTGCTGCTGGCCGTTGCCAGCTGCGGTGGCTGCGCAGTGCTGGGCAGAGCTGTGCCGCAGTGCTGCATCGCCAGGCAGCTGAACAGCAACAGCTGCAACAGTGGCAGCTTCAGTGGGCGTGGCATTGTTCCAATACGCGTTCCAATTGGAAGCAGAAGACTCGCTCGGTTTTCGTGTTGATTTTTGTTTGTGCGAATTTGTTGTTTTTGTGCGCTGTGTTTTGCACCACTGTGCAAAGCAAGGCTTGCTCTATTGTAATACTTTTGCAACGTACTGTTTGTTTTTATTAGTTGTTTGTTGTTACTACAACATTTTCTTTCTTGTTAGTTTTATTTTTTACAATTTGTTTTAGTTTTTTTCTAGCTAAAGTTTTTCTATATGCTTAAATGATTTCCATTTTTACACTGTTACAAAATATTGTAAAAATATCAATTAAATTGCAAGCTGTTATTATTGTTATTGTTATTGTTGTTGTTGCTTGTTGCGCACTATATAAAATAGCAAATGCAAAGAGAGATGTAAAAATTAACAAAACTCCACTCGGTGCCGTTGCTTTACATCATAATTTATTGCATTTCATTTTACTTTACTTATTCACAATTCTTGTTTCTCCTGCGATCGCCCTTTGTTTTCTGACGAGTTCAACCCGGTTCAATCTTTAAAACATGAGGGCGTGGCCACTGCAGTTGTCGACGCATCAAAATTCCCCTCCGTCTCACTCTCTTTCTCTATCGTCATCTAACTCCCTTGCCCTGCTCATGTGTGACCATATAAATAAAAATTATAAATGTGCCCATATAAAAACTGTAGGAAGCAAAAAGTAAAATAGAGGGAAAAAACTTGTAAAGCGCTTGCAATAAATTGACGAGCCCAGCGTCTGTCCCGCTGACATGTGTGCAACAGCTGGCGGCACTCGCAGACGGCTTCATGCCTCATGTCGCAAAAAAAGCAGAAAGATTTAAAGTGCAAGTCGAACATAGGCGACACAAGTTTACGCTACTTCATGTTCAAGAAGTTGTCCAATAAATTAATGGCAGTTGAGTATGAATTTCAAGAGCTGAGGCGAAGGTTTCGCATTTAGCCGAAGGTAAACAAACAATAACGTGGCTCAGTTAGTGAAGTATAAGTATAAAGATGCGTGGAAAATGGGTATTATACAATCTATTATATTTGTATAATGCTACAGAAATAACTGCTTGCTACAAAAGAAATCTAACTTCAATGTAATAACTTCGATTATATAACTAAAGTAGTAAATGAAATGAAATATTATATATTAATATGTCATATCATATATAGCAGCAGCTCTCATAACTAGCTTAAGATATGAAATGGTTTGGTACAAGTCCTTATGGAAAAGTAGGGCATTCTCTAGCAGCTCAGCTTGCACATTGTTTTCTTACAATTCCTCAGTCAAACGTGGTAATTGGTTTAAAGAGCTAAGCTTCCTTTTTTGCTTCTTTAAAACGAAAGGTAGTAATATGTAATCAAAAATCCATTTGTTTATCCATCACTTGTCAGTTAATCCATTTCTCTTATGTGATTCGAGAAATTTTCTAACGAGCTCTTCTTCCTAAATGGTCTCTAATAATTGGATCAATAATCAATATGCTGTTTGCTAATCTGCTGAAGGCAGGAGCTCAACATAAGCTTCGCATATGCTCGAGCAGTGGAGCAGTTGGGGTCAAAAGGCAAATGCTGTTGGCTGTCCATCCAGCTGCCAATCCAAGTGGGCTAATTATCCACAGCGACGACTAACCTAGTCCAACAACTGTCAATCATGAGCGCAGCAACTAATATGCCCCGAGCTCAGCAGCTTACTCTACACTGCCAGTTAAAGAAAGAAAAAAAGAGAGAAAAAGAAAACAGATGGATAGTAAAAGGGGTAGGGTGAGTGGGGGGGGTGGGGAGTGGCTCAGAGGTAGCTGAACAAAGTGCAAATTACAGTGCGCTCGTGCTGATTCATTGAGAACTGGCTCGGCACGCCATGTGCTTGGGCTAAAGTGTTGCTCGTGACTGTTGAGCAGCCGGTGCTAATTAGCAGCTCATCAAACTGCAGCCGCATGCAACAAAAATACGAAATAAAATAAAAATAATAAAAAAGAAAAGGAAATTGTAATAAAAAACGGAAAAATAATCTAAAGCTTGGGCTGCTTACGCGTTACCATAAAACAAAATTACCAATAAACCCAAAATATTCGCATAACAAAATGTGTGTCACATAAAAGACGGACAGATTGACGGGCAGACAGCCGGAATAGGAGCGCACTAAAAGATAGATATATGTATATGAATATAAATAGTTAGTAGACTGGCGGACTGCATCTGCGGCCATAAAAAAGATATTGGAAAACGAGTTGACGTGCTTTGGGTCCCAGAAAATTGGTCAATCAAGCGTCAATTGTTGGACCTTTTATGGATCTAAGACGGGTAGCGGAAAGTTAAGTAGACATAGCTTATAAAATGGCAACCTATTCGGAAATGCCTAACGAGAGAATACCCTGTAGTATGGAGCATGGAGTCAAAAATAGCAATAGTTGGAAGTTTGCCTTAATCCTATTTTGGAGTAAAATTGATCAATTATGGATCTCCAAGATTTATATAGAGATATAGTTAAGTTAATATAGTTAACGGGATTTGAATCTTCTGGATATAGATTATAAAATGGCAATCTGTTTGGAGAACTGTAATGAGCAAACACCCTGTAATAAGCTTCAGCTGCAGATAATATAGATTTTTCAAAACGGAAATTGAATTCTGGAAGCTTTAATTAAGTCTTCTTTGAAGTAGACTTTTTTCATTTTAATATCTTATAGATGATAAATTTATGCAGTCTGACAAAGAGATGATCAAGTTCAAGATGCTTAGCTAAAAAGCTCTGGAGTCTGGTCAGCATCTTTATCTATATGTACAGGGTATATAAAGGCAGAACTAATATTCAAGCAGCTTTCCCATGTATCTATACACTCATATTATATATAACAACAATAAACAATAATAATATAATATTATTACAAGCAGTAGATCGACGTCAATGCACGGGGCCAACGACTTTTTAGGGTCACTTCGGAAGAATTTGATTAGCAGATAGCAGTGAGTGGTCGCTGTGGCATGTGCCGCATGTGTGATTGCAAATGTAATTGAAAAATTGCCCACTGTTTGCTGTCAAGTGCAGAAAAACGGATGGGAACACAGATATGTGTGAGTGCGAGTGTGTGTGTATGCGTGTATGACCCATAAATGGAAAACATGCATAGACACTCACGGACACAGTCACACACACCACATTGAAGTCGTGGCGAGTTTTTTTTTTATGGTCGCTAGCCATTTGCCGAGATAAGCTCTATTATGCCTGTCATACACATAAACAATAATAAGTGACCTTTTTGCGAGTGTGTCAGTGTGCGTGTGTGATTGATAAAAAGTGAGCATATTATCGTTTTACCAGGTAACAAATGTTATAGCTGCCTGCCTACCTCTGCCGCTCGCTATAAACGGAAGTAGAAGCTACGAATATAGTAGGTCACATAAGCCTAAGCCGATTTCCCATTGTATTCTGAGCAAACATATAAATAAACAGAAAATATAGCTTTATGGAGCAGCACAGCAAATGAAGACAAAATAATGTGGACGGGCGACTGACTTTGTTGACAACCCGTGAAAGTGTGTTAAAGTGTGTCTCAAGTGTCAATAAATATCATCTAATTGGGCAATCAAGTAACTGAAATGATATGGCTACAAATTGAGCTGATCTGATGGGCAAGGGGAATTGTAAGCCTATGACTAGAAACCCTTTCAAACAGAAGATTCAAATGTTAAGCTGAAGTTATTTCTCCCAAAATATGGCATCTGATTCACACTAAAAGCACAATATTTAACTAATCATTTATATGACAGCTATATGAGGGAGTAATATATTTTGATTCGTATTCATATATGTTGTTTCCACCTATACGAAATTTCATTGAGATAACTTCACAACTGACCGAGTTCACATAGGCAGTCGCTCGGTCTGGACTGTTCTTAATGCATATTCGATAGTTTGGTTTCCCTAAGCAGCCATTGCCGAGAAGGGAACACAGCTTCGATGGTTTTAATAGGCGTGAGACTGTTTGATAACCCACATATTAACGCACTCAAGCATTCGCTTTCGAAAAACCCAAATCAAATACGTCTAACACACTTCCTATGCATACAGCGACAGCGAGAATGTTTATTTAGTTGTATTATGTTTATTTTTTCTCTCTCCGGTTTTTATGAATGGCCCACATTGTGTACTACATATTTGTGTGTTCATTCACGTATGTGTATCACAAAATGTTTGTTTGTTGTTTTTAGCGACTTGCCAAATGCTGTTAATTTGTTGGCCAAATTAACGTGCAGCTTGCGAGTTATGACTGGTAATACCATGGCTAAGGTCAGTGCACTAGGGATATCCACACACACACACACTTACACATACATACATATATATAAAGTTACATATATATGGGTGGCTGCGCATGCACGGCAAACAGGATGCAGGATATGCGAAAAATCAATAGAGCCGGGCTGTGCACGTGGTGCCCAGAGCACCCTTTGCCAAAATATACCAAGAGTAGTAATTCGCAGCGCTACGCGACAAGAGAAACGGGCACACAGCGAATGCAATCTGCTTCTTTAAGAATTGTGTCAGCTAACTGTGCTTTATCATGGTATAAATACACTTATTGTTCTATTTGTGTTTATTCTTTGTCGGACATTCGCGTTCTTTTGCTAAATATGCTAAATTATGACATAGTTGTGACCAAGACAGAGCCACAGTAACAGATACAGCGCGCGAGCGAACGAGAGAGAGGCACAAGAGGAGACACACTACTCAAGCTGGGCTTCTTGGCAAGCATGCGGCGCTGTAGAATGTCAACAAAACGCACAGGGCACTCACGCTCGCTAGCGCTCACCCTCTCTCGCTCTCAGGCGCTTCGCTGCTGTTTTGTATTAAATGCTGCTCTTTCATTCCGCTCTCTCGACTCGTTTTGAGCGAATTTGCCTGGCCTTTGGGCTGCGTACTGTTTTTTTTTATTGATTTCTTGAAAGGTACACAAAATGCGAATAACAACAACAACAACGACGCAGCGAACAAAGGCAACAGCAACAACAACAATAACAATAAGATTAATGGACGCACTATTAAACATTATATTTATATCTATTTATACACATATAAATGTGTATTCCTAGATTTTTTATGATTTTATTTTATATCTTATTCACACACTTTTATTGTCATAATTTTTTGCGAGTTGTAAAACTTTTGTATTTTTGGCACATATTTTTGGGCACAAATATATGTAGCTGTATATTGTATCTTTTTTGCTTGCTATCAGATATTCAGCACTTGTCATATATCAAAATGCACAACCACTTAAACTGTTTATATTTCGATTACGTTATTATATATATTTCATTCTTTTGTACCCAATTCGTTCGTCGTTGCCGAAAAAAGGCGGCTGCTGCGCAGAGAATTTTTCAGGCGTTCGCACTATACAAAATTTTCACAGCTTTGTTTTATTATACTTTGTGTTTTGCACTTATTTAGTTACTTTTGAAATTTACGAGCAGTCAACATATGACTTTGCTTTGTGCGCATTTCATTGACGATTTTTATTAAAGTTTTTTAAAAATGTTTGCCTAGTTTTTGCTTGGGCCACAATCAGAAAAACTGAAGCACAACGAGACGGCGGCCACAGCGACGGCGACTATGATGACAGAGACAGACAACACACACACGGGCGACTGGTACAACTGTCAAATACATTCGCCGCCGTTGGCTGTGTCCAATTCGCCGTGGTGCGGCATATGCGGCAGCTGCTACTGCTGCTGCTGCTGCGGCTGTGAGAGAGCGAGAGCGAGAGCGTTTGTTTTTGCTTGCATGTGTGTGTGCGAGTGACTCGCCAACTCTGAACAAAAATGCGAGTGCAAACGGGAAATTCGGTTGTTAGGGAATTTTATTTTAGGCGCGCATTTAAATTGTGGGATATTTTCTGCTAGCTGATATTGCAAGCAATAAATGGGAATCCGAGAGTTTTATTGAACGAATCAGTAACTGCAAATTATACTTATTAAACAATTAAATTAATAAGTTATATTATTCATATTATTATTATCTTATTTATTGGCAATAGCTGTGATAAGCTGCGTACGTAATAGCTTTAATAGCTTTGATTGAGATAAAGGAAGTTAGATACGAGTTATGTTTAATATAGTTTAATGCGAGTTGTGTTGTGATATGGTAATATATAATAATTATAATGTGCAATTGTTATAAACTTTTTTAAATTTTATGTTATATAAAAATTTAACTTATTTTATATATTACGCACATGTATGGTATAATACATTAAAAAACATTTACACACAGACAGTTTTAAGCGCTTAAGAGTCTGTCTTTCACTACATTTGACAAACTCAGCTCGTTCCATGCCTAACTGCCTGCTTATTGCCCATTAGGTTTGCCTTTATAAACTACATTGTCATTTGCGTGTGTGAGAGTGTGTGTGTAACACTACCTGGCATAGAATGCTTGGCTATTTAGTAAGCCCCCCTTCACAAAAGATACATCATTAGGCATTATGTTAAAATTACCTGCCTATGCATAAAACCACTTGAAAACTCATTACAAAAGCTCCACAGCGACGCTTACATAATACACACACTTACCCACACACACACACACATGTATATACTTGGCTGGGAGTGGGCAAAGGGGTGGCTCAGACTGTTAAAACATTTTGCACCATTGGCCACAAAAGTAGGCGCTGCAAAAGTTGGCCACAAGGGCGTTAAAGCACTTAGATTTATGTCGCCCGATACACGCGCTCAATACACACACACACACACACACAGACATACACACATACATACACAGTCACGACTTTGACTCGTTTTATGCATTTAATAAAAACTTTCACTTCAGCTTTTCGCAGTTTCCGCCACGCTGCATGGAAAACTTTTCTGCGCCTGCATTGAAGCCAAGTACTTAAAAAGCAATTTCCATGCAGCATGCGAAATACACAAAAAAAAAAAAAGGCAGAGGGCTGCCACAGCCACGCCCAAATATTAATGAAATGATTCGAGTGGAGTTATGCTTATGTTTGAATCTACTTAATTTTTTATTTCGGTCTGTTTATTTTTTTGTTTTAATAATATTTTTGTGGCTTATTAAAAAGTTAAAAGCGGCTGATATTTTTGCTAAGGTGCTGCAACCTAGTTGTGTGTGTGTGCTTGTGTGTGTGTGTGTGTATGTGTGTGGGTGGCATGAACAAAAAATCATAAAACCCATCAAAATAATGTTAATTCATTAAGTGGCCATAACTTGCTCGGGCGCCCAAGTGTAGGCTATAAAAATTTTACGCCCAAAGGCAACCGCACGGCTGGGAGTGGGCGTGAGGGGGGGTGGTGCTGGCTGCAGCTACTGGATTTCCAGTAGCAGCCACAACATCATCGAGTGGTTCTTAAGGAGCCGTTAAGCATGGCAGTTGGCAGAATTGTTGGCGCCTTAGGTTAACTTTTGCTCTGCCGAGAAAATGAATGATTTTTATTTAGATTTTATGGGCAGCACGGAGTCGCTGCTGAGGGCTGTTGGTAATTAGATCCACGCCCCGCCAGGTGTGTAACATGCTACAGCCGCAGCAGCAGCAGCAGCAGCACCAATAAACTCGAAAATTATGTGAATGAGTTTCTTAACTTATTTTCGACTCAGCCAAAGCTGGCCCCAAAAATACCGGAAAATATTTATACATATATAAATGAAAATAAAAATAAAAAGTAAAGTTGCTCCCCAGTTGGTTTTAGGCTCTCAAGATTTATATCTGGCACATGGCAGGCGATCCGATGGCGGCGATGGTGGTGGTGCAGGTGAGGCAGCGGAGCTGCTGGTCCGCCTAAACCGCCAACGAGTAAAACAAACAAAAAGCGGTATGAAACGAAACAAACAGGCAAAGTTAAATGAACAACTTTTGTGCATTATTTATCTGCAAAGTGGAAATATGAGCACTAAGAACAAATATGATCAAACGAGCTGCAAGGCGGACGACTCAAAGATGCCCTGTAAATTAATTGTAGGGGATAAAAACTGTCAGAGATGAAAAGCGAGAGAGATATGAGGGAGAGAGAAGGACAGAAAAACAAGAGGGTGAGAGAACAAGAAGAAGGAGAGTAAGATCACGAGGGAGAGATTTACAAAGATAGGTAGAAAGAGATATATATATAGAGAGAGAAAGGATGTTTGTGAGAGAGATAGAGTGTGTGAGTGAGGAAGAGGGAGTGAGATATAAAGATAGAGAGGTCAAAATAGATATAGACGGATAGATCAAGAGAAATAGATCAAGAGAGAGAGAGAGAGAGAGAGACAGGGAGAGATATAGAGTCAACGATGAAAAGACTAAAATAGATATGAAAAGAGAGAGGGAAGGAATGAAGGAAAGAGACAAAGACAGACTGATCAAGACAGATATAGAAGTTGAGATCAACAGATCTACCAGAAGAGAAAAGAGTTCAACATGAAGATCAAGTGAGATTTAAATCAAATCAATAGATAGAGACAGAAATTAAGAGGGATCGAAGCATTAAGGCAGATTAGTGGACTGGCCAACATGTATAGATTCGAGCTACATCCTTGGCTTAAAAAAAGGTGCCAAAGTATGTCCAGCTTCAAGCTACACTTTCAAATTCAGCTCATATGGTCGGCAGAGAAAGCTTCCTGTTCTGTTCTCAAAGAGGGAACCCTTGGTTATCTTGATCAACTCAGATGTTTGCTGCATGAATATACCCTGCTGTCCACTGGCTGCGTACGGGGCATGCGATATCATAACCACAATACTGCGGCATAATGGAGGCTCCGACATAGCCAACAGCCTGCCAGCAGCAGATGAAACCACGCTGCCACTTGGCCTGCCTCACTGACTCCCTGACTGATTATGAGCTTTATGTGTGTCTGTGTGTGCATGTCTGTGTGTGTGTGTGTGTGTGGTAGTCACTCATTTAATATTTTATGACTTATCTCTTTTCTATTAAGATATTTTAATGCACAAGCGAAAAATGTGTAAAGCAAAACCCACAAGATGAAGCTCAGCCCCAGCGCCCATAAAATCTAATAAACATAAGTCACTGACTGTCATGCAAGCATGTGTGAGTGTATCTGTGTGTCGCGGTGTGTGTGAGTGTGTGTGTGGGTGTATTGTATATTGTTGTGGTTAGAATATCTCTTGGAGCTGACTCTATGTGCCTCAACGTGCTCAACGTTTCAGGCTTTTTATTGATACGCTGCTTAAAATTTACAGCTTCTGAAGAAGGTTTACGAGATGGGCGGTAGCCGTTATGGGCGTTGGGGGCGTGACGTAGCCCCGCCGGCTGCGATTTTTAATATGCATTAAAATTAATAAGAACACGTGTCGTGTTCAGACTTGGTCGTCGCACTTGTCGCAGCATCTCGTCTTCATAATTCCATTTTATCGCGCACAAATTTTTATAGCTACGCCGCGGGCGTCGATTTCTCGAAATAAAGCTCTGGCATAGTCCTTGCCGTGTCCTCGTGTCTTCCGCCTCGTCCTCGTCTGCCCAGCTACGCAAATAATGTGTGCGAGCATTGTCGTTGATTTTGACGCCATTTTGTTGGGTTGTTAATTTTATGCTCACGAGATAAGAAAATTGCGACAAAAACCCTGGAAAATTGCCCGAAGGTGGGCGACAAATATCACCAGCTATTTATGAATACCCAATTTCGCATTCGCATTGCATTCGTTTTACTTTGTCGCCTGTTTTTCCTTTATTTACATTTTTCTTGTTGGTGATTTTCCTAATCAGCCCAAGAGTAACATATGCTTCGCTTGCTTATCAAATTATTGAGCCATAAACAGTTTGTCGGCTTAATTGTGTCAGATGATTCATTCGAGTTTCGTGTCTAGCTGCAGGTGTTGTGCGATTCGAGTTGAAGGCGTGTTGCAAAAGTCGTGCGTGACACGATTGTGGGACTAATTGCAAATGTGTTCCGGATAGGATGTAATCGGAATCAGTATGAAAGTTGTAGTCTAAGCCCTGCTCTATATATAGATTGGTACTGGTATATAGACTAGTACGATGTATGTTAACAAAATGGATTGATATAAAATCATGCAGAGACGAGAATGATATAAGACCTGCATAGACGTATATCTACAAAAATTTGATGAAATCACAAAATTGATAGGGAGGGGCCGACAAATATACCTCGATCGATTCTGCTTGCTATCGTCATCAAAAATATATCTATATGCGCTTTCTGATAATATTCTTTCATTTAACCTGAATAAATAATTTTTTTTTTCTTATCAGCAATCAAGATAGGGAGATATTTTCTACATATACAGTAAAATCCTATTGTAACGATGCTCAATGGACCATCGTTATACCCGAAAGACGCTATAACTATACATAACTATACTCTGGATACCAGAATTTTCGTCGCAATAACCGTACGGGCTCTATAAGCAGAGTCGTTATAAACGGATTATACTATGCATATTTATTGTATTTCTTATATTAAATTCATATTCCAAGTCGTTTTCATAATGGTAAAAAATGAAATTCGTTCCACTTTTGCCTTTTTTGTTCATTATCTGCCAAGTTCTATCAATAAAATTCGATTTCTCTCGGGCGCCAAAATGACTTCGAGCTCTGCTCAGAGGTAACACCAAAATTATCTGCGATCGACTTTGATTTCATATATGAAAATGACATAATTCACTGAATAGTCAAATTTCAGGATACGAAATAACTATTTGCATAGGTAATAGTGTTGGATTTGACATCTATGAATTTGGTCAGCAATTTGCCGGCGAGCCCAGCCCAATTTGAATCGCAGCGACCCAGGTAAAGTAATTGCCATGGGCCCAATAATTCGATTGGGTTGCTCGGCTCAGTTGAGACTTGTCAACATATAATTTGAGGTGCATGGCAAACATACATATATATGTGTGTCTGTGTGTGCGTGAGCATGGCTGACTACCTGAACTCTGCTTGGAACTCAGCAATATTGCATTTCGGCCGTGCGCCCGTGGCCACACCCCAGTTGTGGGTTATGATTGTGCATTTCAGGCTTTCAACGGCCGCCGCGTCCGCCTTTTGCCTTTGACGGGGCAATAACCG